AATGTCACTGTCAGAAAAACAGTACACATCTCAATTAGCAATGGACCCACTTGCCTCAGCTATATTCAAGAAGGGAGTCACTAATAAATAATCCCAGATAAGGCTTTGAGGAAAGATTCCACACACCCCACCCCAAGAGTTTTACATTAATTATTATGTTGGTAACACTACTTTGTATTGGCCTAGTACATTCATGCACACTAGTCTTGGACACAAATTGGTTCTTACTCAAAGCAAAACAGATACAGTTAAAAAAATGTTTAGGGTCTGAGGAACTGGGGAAGATATTTCTAAGGACCTCATTCCCCGCTGGGCCACTTTCCCCAGCACATGGGGAAAATTATCACTGCCTGGCTCCCCCTGTGTTCCTGTTATTGAGAACATGGAAAGCCCCCCCATGTTCTCTGGGCAGCTCCAGGACACTTCCTTTATGGAGTCCCACAAGAAGTAGCTTTACATTGTATGATGGGCTTTGTCGGGGTCCATCAAGGTATCATCCTGGAACTCTTCCTGTACTCTATGTGATGAGGTGGTACATCTCAGGGGAGAAGGTACCATCCCTAACTTCATCCAATCAAACATGTCTGATGCCATATTACTCCCATTTGTGTGTGTTTTTTTGTATTTTTAAAACCCTCAACAATGTCACCAAATGCTGATAGCATAGCAAAAACACTTTTCAATATTTTTTTTTGAATTTTCCTTTATATAAGAAATTGACACTGTGGGGCTACTTCTAAAACACTCTATGTTCTAAGAGGTTGCACATGGACTCTTCTTCATCATGTAGGGCCACTTTAGTTGTCATGAAATTGCACAGACAATTGCAAAATCAAGTTAATAACTATGTCTGTGTGGAGAGGCTTGTTTTCCATGTCAAGAGGTGGAATACCTTGGGGGAATAACAATTGTCCTGTTTTGCATTGGAATTGTATGAACAGTCAATTTGTATACTGAATGAAGTTCTCTAGCATCTCATCTTAATTAGAAATCTTGCTTGAAAAGACTATATGATGTGTTTCCTCGGTTCTGGCATATCCCCCCTCCCCTGTTATCCATGGCAGCAAACTCAAAGGATCCAGGTCTATAACTTAGAAGTACAAACATTAAAAATGTAGTGATAGCTGTCAAGTCAGTATATCATTTTTCTAAAGAGTATTTAAACATGTTAATTGGCTAGAGAAGGCAAATGCCAGTGTTCCATTTCACAACACCTGTAATTTCTAATGTTTTAGATTCATGGGAGCAAACTCAAAGGGTCCAGGTCCATAACTTAGAAGTACAAACATTAAAAGTTTAGTGATAGCTGTCAAGTCAGTATATCATAACTGTAGGGATAGGCCTACAGTTAATATAGTTTTACTGCCTTGGCTCATTGCTATGGAATCATGGGAGTTTTACAATATTTAGTCTTCTCTGTCAGAGAGTCCTGATGCCTCATCAAACTACAAATCCCAGGGTTTTGTGCCATTAAACCATGGAAATTAAAGTAGTATACATTGCATTAATTCTACAGTGTAGATGCACCCTAAGTTTGCTTCCTCTTATCATGGACTAGTAATCTTGTAACTTTTGATTTTCATGTTCATGGTCATTGAGTAAATGCAATTCTAAAAATGCACTAAAACTAAACAGCACCCCAAGTGAAGGGTTCATCTGGTGCTCCAGATAAGGGAAATGCCAATTGCACCATTGTCCCAGTTATGGGACAGTTGCAATAAGACCAAATGGGCTTCCTGCCTAGTCACTAGGACAGAATTGCAGTCATCACACACCCTTCGGTCGTGGCACTGCCTAGTTTAAGAGTAGATTTGGGAAGGATGGCATAGACAAAATTAGCTACAATGACGTTGTTCCACTGTCAAACTATGCAGGATCTCAGACAATTGATTTTTGGATTGCTTTGAAATATCTAGGCAACCTGTTGCAGAGATTTCAGTTTTGTTCATATTCATTTTTTTTTAATCCCAACTCTTCGGTTATTCATGCACCATATACCAAAGCAATTTTCAGCTCATGGTTGCTTTTGGAGTGAATATGAATAGCTGAAATTGTGACTCAACAGCAGGGGTAATTGCATGAAAAGGGAGTTAATTTTTGTTTAACTCCTGCGACTTTATGCATTCAGCACACTAAAAAAATGACAGAGTGCCACTGTTTCAAAATAGAATGATTGTTTTCTTTTGGCAAGGGTAAGTACATCACTATCATGAGGTCTTAGACATTTAGCTAAAAGCATTTGTAACTTCTTTGGAACTTATAAAATATCCATTAGGAATCCAATAGGGTTTTTTTTTGTAAGGGGTCACTGAAAGTATAGAGAGAAACAACTTTTTAATGTTTTAGGATTCAAATGTTGGACTTTACCAAGTCCTGTAAGTAAGTGTTGCTAGACATGATTTTAGAAATGTCAACCGAAGGCTGTTGCATTATACACAAGTCCATGTCACTATCAATCCTGGTTCAGGGAGAATACGTGCTTGGTGTGGCATATTTATTTACCCTTTTCATTTTGAGTTGTCCTTATAAAATAGTAATTCAGTGGGCCTTGAATAACAACCCCATGGATACCAAGCAAGATATGTGGAAACTTTTCCAATTATATACACTGGTATAGTAAATGGTTATCACTTATTTTAAAAAAATGACAAAATCAAATTTTGCTTTGTGATTTTTAAAAATATTTTCAACCTTCAGATCATTGAATCCATGGATACAGAATCTGTCAATACAGAGGGCCTACTGTATAAGCAGTACACTGTGCCAATTGAGTAATTAGGATTATGTGAATAAAACCCACCAATAAGTTGAGGTTTTTTATTTTTAAAAAAGTAAAAATTGCATTGCAAAGAAAAGAGAAAAGAAAGAGGAGAAAAAAGAACATGGCATGAGAGGAGCGGGGTGTTGCTTAGCATATAAAACACATGCAAGGTGTGTACATTAATATAACTTGCTTATAAATATATTTTTAAAAACAACATTTTCTTGAAGTTGACATCCATAAAATATCGACCTAGATAGACCATTGGACAATAAATGGTGGATGTTTGTCTTCCCAACCTTGGCGTCCCATCTTTTAGTAACAGTTTAAAAACCTTGTAGATGCCTTGATTCTGATCCATAATATATAACACTTTTGCAGTGAAAGTGCTTTTTAAAGGCTTTAATGTGATATCCCAGAACTCACTTCTGGGTGTCCCCTAGGCAACATCCTTGTAGACAGCCAATTCTCTCACACCAGAAACGATTTGGAGTTTCTCAAGTTGTTCCCGACATGACAAAAAACAACAAAAAAACAAAACTTACTTTCTTACTCCTTACTGTTGGTTGTGTGGCTGCATGTGTCATTCCGATGCCAAAGTGACTGACTTATCCAGTGGGGCTCTGACAAGAGGATGCTTGATTGGGAAAGCAGCAGCAATGGTGGACTGTAGCAGAATGGCAAATTACCTCAAATGAAAAGAGAAATAATACATTTGAGTTGAGTTGTGGACAGCAATTCAGGTTCAGTGCAGTACATTACACATGAGTGTGGTGTTGAGAGGATGAACATGCTGTTTTCCATCTCTTCCCCAACATTTTTAGCCTAATTTTAGAGATTTTAAATGATATTTTAAGGATTTAATATGTTAGCAATTAAGTGGATTGTGTTATGCCTTGTTCATTTTTGTTCACTTATAATTTATTGAGTTGTTCTTGAACTGTTTATTGATTATATTACTGTAGGCATTAAATGTTTTCCATTGTATATTTTGTTGTGAGCCGCCCTGAGTCCCTTCGAAGAGATAAGGTCTGCTATCAATAAGATTTCATTTCATTTCATTTCATCAATTTATGACAGCTCCAGGGCTGAATAATTGGAAATGCAGGTGAATTATTTGGGTGGTGCAGACAAGCCCTATGAGTTCAATGAACACAAATATAATTTAAAAGAACATATGCATCTGCTTGTGAAAATCTATCTTTAGTGTGTGTCAGTGTTGCATGTGATTTCCTAAACATAGGTCCAGGGACATCAGGTTAGGTCAATTCAAAGTGAAATCTGTAAAGAGAAAAATGTATAATAATTTCTCTTCTTTGGTTAAAATGATGTTTTCATGAATCTAGTCTACTTCTCATATAATCTACTTGAAGGAGTCATTCTGCTCAGAATTCTATCAGAAGTTCCTGGGAAATGCCAGGGTCTCCTACAATTATTTGCAATAGAATTCAGCAATGACATGATGTACGGCATAGCATTTTAGTAACTTCTGTTTTAGAGAAAGCTGTTGAATGAAAATTCAAAGAGCAGCAAACAAGATGTGCATTCAGAATTTTGTTTAAATTTTCTAGCAGAAAGTTCATTCAGAAGAGCTTCACTGAATAACAGCTATCTTAACAATAAAAATTTATGCAAAGAGAGGCAACAAAGCACTTAGAGTAAATTCTAACTAAGTGCTCAAAATAAGAAATATGTAGATTTGAATTTGTTTCTTCAGGTGATGCTGATGCCAACTCTTAGGGTTTTTTTTCTCTTTTTTTCCCTTTGTGTCATCAAGACTTAGAAACCCATATTCCTTGGGGAGATTAGGTTGGTTTCCTAGATTCCCAATTAGTCTCCCTTCCCTCATTATTCTGTTTGCACAGCTTGATGAGATCCTAATATATCCTTGCCCAAATTTGAGAAAGACTTATTTGTTATTAAATAGCACTTGTAGAGTTGCTAGCAAATTTCTCCCAAAACAAAAGTCAAGGCAGCTAGAAGAAAGGGTTTTGCTTAAGTGAGGGATTACTTTAATTTTTCACAGGATTTAACACAAACGAGATTGAGTTTAAAGTGAGATTTGAGTTTGATGTGGATGTTTCTGCCAAGCAAAACACCTTCAGGGATTTGAAAGGCAGTTAAAGTGGCTTTATATAAATTTCACTGGATGTGTTGCCTATCTCAATGTTCATGTGAAAGAAACAGTGCTTTCTTCAAAAAGGGAAGGACTAACTGGATTATTCTTGACTGTCCCCAGGCTCCCAGGTTAAGGGATTTACAACATTACGGTTCCTGATTGAGCCTTCGGATGCTGTTACCATGAGAGGAAGTAACGTCTTACTCAACTGTACAGCAGAGTCAGATCAAGGATCTCCAGTCATCAAATGGAAGAAGGACGGCGCTTTTTTAAACTTGGCAGTGGATGAGAGAAGACAGCAGTTTTCCAATGGATCTCTTTTGATACAAAATATAGTCCATTCCAGACACCATAAACCTGATGAGGGCCTTTATCAGTGTGAAGCATCATTAGAAGGAACTGGAGCCATCATCAGCAGGACAGCCAAAGTTTCAGTAGCAGGTAAGAATTCACTTTTTCTAGCATATTGGAACATTTCTTTCTAATTTAATGTGGTTTTCTTACTCTGGCACATATTGAGATGTTTGCTTTTGTTGAGAAACATGGGCTACATGCTATGTAGTAAGCTTTTGGATTTTGATCTGGGAATTTGGTTGTCTCCAGACAGCTGTTCGGGCCTTGTACCTCCAACTGTTATGATGCAAATAGTTGTGACTAAAAGTTGGAAGTGCTGTGAGGTAGATCAAAGAAACAAGAAGGCCTTTGTGCAGCAATATGACAGAAGAAATCAAGAGATGCTGTGCCCTCAATGCGCATGTTCAGATGCAATTTGGTCACTAATTTTGCAATTTCTGTGGATCGTTTTTCTGCTCCTGGTGATATATTGCATTCCTTTGCCCCTCTCCCAGACCCCACCTACACTGTCACATATGGTCTGCATTACATAGTCAGTAGGGCTGGGCGGTTTCGTTCGTTAATTTCGCAATTCGTTATTGATTCGTATTTAAATTAGCTTACGATCCGATATTGAGCCATGCAGGAGCAACTAAAAAATGAAACAAATTTTTCCATTTATTTCGTAATTGTTTCGTAATTGTTTCGTAATTGGTTCAAAATCGTTTCGAAATTGTTTCGTTATTATTTCCGTATGTCTGGTGCAAGTTTTATAGTCGTTGTTTGTTTTATCAGTGATAAAAAAAATTATCACACCAACAGTCAACAACAGAGGGAGAGGGAAGCTTCAGAAGTTCCCCCTGTCCCATTTGGAGGGTTTTTTTAGCGTATTGCGCAATCGCGTCCGCCATTAACGAATCAATTCAAAATTTACGAAATTTCGTAAATAACGAAATTTTTTAAAGAAAAATTCGGAATTCTTTTAAAAAACGAAACGCAATGGACCCCCTAAAAACGAAACGAGTTTAGAAACAAATTTTTCCGTTGTTACCCAGCCCTAATAGTCAGTGCAGACTCATATAATGAACAGCCTTGTTATGAGTCTATGCCAAGGGTCCTCAAATTTTTTATCAGAGGGCCAGGTCACAGTCCCTCTAACTGTAGGAGGGCCAGATTATAATTTGAAAAAAAACATGAATGAATTCCTATGCGCACTACACATATCTTATTTGTAGTGCAAAAAACACTTAAAAACAATACAAAAAACAATGTTTGCCACTTTGTTACTTTTGCTGGAAGCTGCCCTGAGTCCCCAAAGGAAGATAAGGCAGGTTATAAATAATGTATTATTATTATTATTATTATTATTATTATTATTGACAAAAAAGCACAGTATGTCACAGCAAACGAGATCTATATTCTGGATTTCGTATCACAAAATCACAAGTCGAACACTTCCCAAGCGTCTAGGACTGTGTGATGTATTTTTGAATGATGTGTGCAGATCCAAGTCAGGTGGCCTTTTGCAGTTGACAGATTATGATTTTGTTGATGTTTATTGTTTCCAAATGCTGGCTGAGATCTTTTGGCACGGCACCCAGTGCGCCAATGACCACTGGGACCATCTGTACTGGTTTATGCCAGAGCCTTTGCAGTTCGATGATTATTATTATTATTATTATTATTATTATTATTATTGGGCTTTCACTAGATGATCAGATTCTGCAGAGTGGCTATATATGTGTTTATGTGTGTGCATGTAACTTGATTTAGGCATGTGTGTGGACACCAGTTTATATCTAGTATCAGATTCAGACTGCTTTGGAAGAATTTGGTTTTGTTTTGGACATTTCTTACATTTCTCTGAACCAGTCTGATTTGGTTCAGGATTCCAGTACGGCCTCTAGCCATGTGCCCATGGCAATTAGTTTGAGGAAATTGTGTCTGAGGCAAACTACTTTAAATTTTAAGTAAGTACAAGGACACACAAAAACTTTTTCCCTTTCTTAAAAATTGGTTGTTTCTTTGCAAAATGAAGTTCGACATGACATTGCTGCCACAGTAATTTATTTCTGACAAGCTACTATTCATGCTTAAATATGTCTAATCAGCCCTTTGTTGCTGTGTGATATTTGAAGCATGTTTATTATCTTCAAAAACAAGAGGCAGCCTTTGAAGCTAGAAATTAACTGCTTTCCAGATTAATTCAGGGTCAGGAAAAATAAAATACCAAACTTTTGTAGGATGTGAAATGTACTTTTATTAGTATTATTTTGCCTCTTCTACTTGGTTGTTCTTGGCTGACAGAATTCATTAAGCATTTTATTGGATTCAGAAGTGTTCATTTCGGCAACTCATTTTTGGGGGGGTGAAGTACTTCTTCTCCTGAGCTGACACAAATTGGCCACTTCTCGAAGCACAAGAGGATTTGGGATGCTGAACAAATACTTGAATTCAGATCCATGATCCTTGTGACAGTTGGCAAATTTAACACTTTGCAACACTTGGATGCCTGAAGAGGCCTGCTTTTCATACTGATTAATCTGTTGTTTTGCACTTAGGAATTTTCCTTTTTTGCTGTTGTCATTATATATTTGGACATTAGAAAACTTCCAAAGTCTGAGTGCTCTTTCAGACTACATAGTTATAATGGTACATGATTCCACTTTAGCTGCCGTGTTTCCATCCCATGGAATAATGGGATTTACTGTTGGTGTAAGGGGGGGGGGGATATTTAGAATTCCTACAGAGTGCCCTACTCAAACTATAAAACCGTAGAATATTGCTATGGGAATTATAAACCTCATCTGCATTATCTACATTGTCATACAACACTGTTCAATGCAGTTAAATTGCATTATGAAACTGCATTATATGGCAGTGTAGACAGGGGCCATAATGGAATTATAGTAGTCTGAAAGAGCATTGAGTGAAGGCAAAAGGCAAGGAAGGCAAAATGGATCTCAGCTTGTGCTTATGTGCATGAGATTACTACAGCTGCAGTGTGGATACTGGGATTGGTGGAGTTAAATATTTCAAATCCATAAGGTGAGTCCAATGAAGGCACTGCCAGACACTTAACATTTCCTCTCTTTTGTTTTCTTCTTGTCTGTACCATTTTAAAGCAGGGATGTTACTGCTTTAAAATACTACATGGAGGACAGAAGCTAGCATCTCTCTTAAGCTCCCTAATATCCCAAGCCAAATAATTTTCTCCTGCAGCCACTTGTAACATGGCAAAAGGAGGAAACATACCATTCCTCACTGTCACCATTTTGTACAGCAGACAACAATGGAGGTATTGCCTTGGAAGGGCTTTTCAAGATGGTAAACAGAAGTCAAGGTTCACTTCTTCCTGTCACCATTTAGAGCAGTGGTTCTTAACCTGTGGGCTGCAGACCACCAGTAGGCTACAAGAATGAAAAACTGGTCCGCGAGCCTTCTTCCTCTTTATTTGCTTATTTTATTTTATTATTTTATTTCCACTCCTTTCACATCACCTGTCACTCCTTCCCTGTTGCTGACCATGGCATATGTCCTATATCAGAAATTGGAACTGATGTGGTCTATCCAATGCAATTTTATGAATCAGCACCCCAACCCAAATCTAAAGTTGACCAAAAACTGATTCATAACTCTTTCAGTGCTAATGTTTGAGAGTGGTCCCTGGTCAAACTGGTCCCTGGTTAAAAAAAAATATGGTTGGGAACCCCTGATTTAGAGAGTGACAGCAAAAGAAAATTGATGTTTGGAGTAGAATAGGGTGCTTATGTAGGGTAGGGTGGGGGAATTTGTTTGTGTATATTTTCATTTGTTGGGGGAATCTTATATGATGTTTGGGCAAAATGTGCTCAAAAATCACCATCAAATTACAGTATGTCATCTAAGAAAAGGTCCCAAGGCCCAGATTAGAACACCAAGAGGTCAGATGATGATAATTATTTATGCCTCCACTGTCCTCTCTTATGACCTCATCATACAGGGCTAGATTTGGCAGCAAACATAGCTGAATGAATCCCATCAAATGACGTCATACTGGCTTCATGGGTGTTTGGGGGCACGTTGCCCTGGCAACACAGGAGGTTTCCCATGTTGATCAATCTATGGACGCAAGCCTCACACACCATGCGTGCTTTATGCTTCCCCTCATGTGATTGCCTTTCTGGTGAGGTAGGCAATGCGAGGCGTGGGGCGGCAGATTCCCAAGCCTTGTGGCAAAGTGGATTGCCATCTCCTTCTGCCATCGGCTGTCTGATGAAGTAGTTAAAAAAGATGCAAAATGGAAGAAGAAAAGCAATATGTGGGAAGGAATTGCCCACAAATCTTGTGCTGCAAGAGTCTGTCTTCTCCAATGTTTTTAATATTTGGTACTTAGGAATTTGTAGGAATTTATTTTTTGTTAATTCTGGGGTTTTGTTAATCCTGGGCATCCCCATCTTAAAGCTGTTTCAAAGTATAAAATCTTTTCGACAGACATTTTTTGCTGTTGATGTTGTTGAGATGGCAAAGACTCATCCCTTTTGGTCTCTTTTACTATGCCTGGTTTTCACCAGAATTACCAGCCTGCTTCTTTCCTAGTTCTTGCTTTTCTTCCCTTTATTCGACCTCTTTTCCTTTGTCATGGTTGCATAATCTTCCCAGTCAGTACTCAAACTACTCTGTAATCAATTCTCCATTACTTCCTCCTTCTCCCATTTGTACCCCTAAAGAGCCAATATTGAAGAAAAAATGATCCATTAATCCTAAAAAGAGCAGTCTTATTTATTGTATGTGTTATGTCTGTCATATTATGATGCGCTTTATGGATAGTATATCCTTTCCTCTTAATGATCGGAAGGCAGAGTGAATGGTTTTGGAGGGTTAATTTCTTTTGATACAGTTGGGATGGGGGAATGTTTGGAACCAAAGAAATAATTTCTGCAATCAGCTGAACACGAAGAAATATTTGCTTATGTGAGGAACATAAATATTGCTTGCTGAACTGGAAATATGCTTTAAATGACCTTAATTAAAAATTGGCAGCACACTGCAGACTTAAGGCACTGGGCAGATGGAAGATACAGTAGGGTGGGAAAGAGAGAAAAGAATAATGATTTTTAAAATTGAAA